CTGTTCTGTTTTGTTGAACATTCTTCCCCACCACAAACCCTCTTTAGAAGACCAGGGGCTCCTAAAACATTGAGGCTGAGAGTCCTGTCCCTGTGCATGTTTGGGCATTGACCCAGGGCCAAATCTGTGGGAGACTCCTCCACGCACATGCCAGGTCCCCAGGTGACAACTGCAGTCTCTGGATCTGAGGTCATCCATTTTCCCATTCCTAGCTCACCTCACCCATCGTGAAGCCTGGTTAGTATTGCCAGAGACCCGAGTGGGCAGGTGCCCACACCAAAGACAGAACCTGCCATGTGCCCACCTTGCTGATCCCTCCATCCTTCTAGACAAAGGCTTTGTGAGCCAGGGACCTTGGCTTTGCTCACAAGGCAGCCCCTCACCTAGTAGGCATTAGCTCATTATGTATATGTATATGTATATGTAGTCCTCAGGTTGTATTCCTTAAATATATATAATATATATAATTCCTTAAATGTATAATTTTAGTACAAAATTTTTAAAAGATTCCTTTAATAAACATATACAATAACATCAGGAAGTATCAACTACATAGCAAAGATGTGAAAGTCAGCCAGGCTCGCAATAGCATCAAGAAATATAAACTACATAGAAAAGATGTGAAAGCCAGCCAGGTTCGGCTTCAAATCCCAGCACTTTGGAAGGCTGTGGCAGGAGGGTCGCTTGAGCTCAGAGGCTTGAAACTAGCCTAGGCAACATAGTGAGACCTCATCTCTACTGAAAATCAGAAAAATTATCCAGGTGTGGTGGTGTGAGCCTGTAGTCCTAGGTACTCAGTGGATGAGGCCCTAGGATGTCATAGATCTGAGAATTTCATGCTGCAGTGAGCTGTGTTCGTGCCACTGTACTCCAGCCTGAGTGAAAGAGTGAGATTGTGTCTAGAAACAAAGGAAGAAAAAAAAAAAGATGTGAAAGCCTATATATTGAAGACTACCAAGTATTGCTGAGAGCAGTTAAAGACCTTTGGAATAGAGAATGTTCCTACTTGCATTTCAAGATTGCTTTTGTTTTGGGGGGACACTTGCTATCTTTTAGGAATATGAAGTTCTTCTTAGGCATTTCTGTAAAAAAGGCCACTTTTTGATAGGACTGTATTGAATCTGTGGATTGCTTTGAGTTGTATTTTTATCTTCACCATGTTACAACTTCCAACCCATGAACACAAGATGTCTTTCCATTGATTTAGGTCTTCCTTAATCTCCTCAAGCAATGTTCTGTAGTTGTCTGTGTACAAGTTCTGCACCTTCTCGAACAAATTTATTCCCAGGCATGTTATTCTTACAGGTGCTATTATACATGAAATCATTGTGTCAATTTTCTTCTCAGATTGTTCATTGCTAACACAACTGATTGCTTGCTGAAAGTTTGCTGAATTCACTTATTAACTCTAGTAGTGTGTGTGTGTGTGTGTGTGTGTGTGTGTGTGTGTGTGTGGTCTCTGTGTGCATGTATGTGTGTTTGCATTTGTATGTATTATTTGGGATTTTCTACATATAGAATCACACCATCTGCAAATTGAGATCCTTTTGTTTTCTGTTCAAAAATATTTTTTCTCATGTTTATTTTTGAAAGATAATTTGGCCAGGGGTAGAATTGTAGGCAATAGTTTTTCTTTTTTTAAGTACTTTATTGCCAACTTCTTGTTTGTAAAGTTTCCTATGAGAAATCTTACGCCATCCTTATATTTAGTGCTCTGTATGTAACATGTTCTTTCCCCTTTTACTACTTTTTTCCTTTTGATCACTGGTTTTGATGGATTTGATTAAGGTGTTTCTTGGTGAAGTTTTCTTCATGTTTCTTGTTCTTAGAATAATCATGTTTCTGTAATATTTGAAGTTTATGCTTTCCATGGAGCTTCTAAATCTTTCATCCAGTATGTTTTAAGTATCTTTGTCTCTCTTCTCCACTACACGCCCTTCAGGGATTCCATTTAGCCCTATACTAGGGTGTTTAAAGTTTTTATGCTGATGGTCCTTTTAGTTTTCAAGTCATTTGTTACTGTTTCATTTATGTTAGTTTCAACTTCTATTCCCTCTAGTTCAATAATCTTCTCTTCTGCAATGTTTAATCCAGTGCTTTCTTCCATTTCAGACTGTAAATCATAGATTTTATCTACATAATTTGATATTTTAAAAAATCTTCAATCTCTCCATTTAATTAAAATACAATTATACTAACTGCTCTAATGTCCTTCTCTTCTATTTCCAACATGTGTGTCAATTTCAAGTAGATTATTAGATTCTTCATTGTGTGTCATGTTTTCCTGTTTCTTTGGCTGCTTGATATTCTTTTATTTTATTTATTTATTTTTGGGGATGGAGTTTCACTCTTATTGCCCAGACTGAAGTGCAATGGTGTAATCTCAGCTCACTGCAACCTCTGCCGCCCAGGCACACAAGTGATTCTCTTGTCTCAGCCTCCCAATTGCTCAGATTACAGGCATGTGCCCCCATGCCCGGCTAATTTTTTTGTATTTAGTAGAGACGGGGTTTCACCACGCTAGTCAGGCTGGTCGTGACCTCCTGACCTCAGGTGATCCACCTGGTTGCTTGATATTCTTAGATTTGATGCTGGAGCTTTGGTGTCAATGCTCAAAAGTGCCCAAAAACACCACTCGACCTCAGTGTCTATGCACACCCAAGCTTTTGCAACAGGAGAGGAAGAGAGAGCAGAGATGAGTGTGCTACAATATGCTGGTAGAGGGTACCCCAATTATGCTTGGGGCTTTCCTATGCCTCATGGAAAGATGTGCCTTCCTTAATTTTTCCCATAAGAACCCCCCTACTTCATGCCCTGTCTCTCTGTCCAAACACCAGGACAGTCCTCTCACCAGCCTCAACTACCCAATGGATTGACAAACGTCCAAATATGACTCAGTGGAGAAGGCATTCTCTTGTCAACAAATTGTGTAGAAACAACTGGACATGCATATCCCCAAAGGAAAAAAATTCACCTGAACCTCAATACTCACTCAAAGGCTAACTCAAAATGGATTATGCAACTAAACTATAAAACTAGAAAAAGTACAGCAGAAAATATAAGACAAAATCTTCACGATACAGAGTTAGGCAAAGTGATCTTTGTTATCAATAAACACAAACCATTAAAGAAAACATTGATAAATTCAACTTTATAAAAATTAAAAGTTTTTGCTCAACACAAGACAGTAATAAGAGAACAGATATAAGCTGCAGACTGGAAGAAAAACAGTGGAAATCACAAATATGACAAAGGGCATGTGTGATAGTTACTTATACGTGTCACTGTGACCGAGCACCAGGTGCTGGGACATTTGGCCAAACATGATTCTGGTTGTGTTCCAGAGAGTGTTTCAGATACGAGTAACATTGGGATGGGCAGACTAAGTGAAGCAGATTGGCCTCCTTAATGGGGGTGGGACTCATACAATCAATCAAAGGCCAGGAGAGAATTAAGAGGCCTAATGGGAAACAAATGCTTTCCTGGGTATCCAGCTTTCCTTCCATCTTGGGAATTTCAGCCTCCATAATCTCAGAAGCAAATTCATATATATATACACACACATATACATTTCATAGGTATGTGACTAACGTTGTATTTTTTAAAGTTCAGCCATGAGATGATTGGTGAAGCTAGCCAATGAATAAGGGTGTGTTCTATTATATGATTCAGTCTTCTTTTGTACACAATTGAAGTTCTGCATTTGAAGTAGGAGGATAGGAGAGAGCAAGGCCACCTAGGATGATAACAGCTGAATTTCTCAACATACACTTCGAAGCCCTAGGGGTTAACTTAGAGAATCAAAAATCCCACCCACAATCCTGCCCCTAAACACCAGGGCTAGGGAACACCATGGCCCTCAGGTGATTTTATTTAGCCAGGTCTGGGAGCCACACAACGGCAGAGGGAGCAGGAAACACTATGCAAATAGAGGCCAGGACAGCAGGGAGGGGCTGTTCATGACAGAATACAGGTAAAACTATCCTTGAAAAGTGAGTGTGGAGAAACACAGATCATGCCTGAGACCTGGTGGATTAAAGCACTGGCTACTGGGGAATTGAAAGGAAGGGGCTTCGCCGTGCGGAGGACCAGAGGTGCCAATCTTGGAAACGCAGAATTGCTGGGAGATGGGGAGGCGTGGACAAAGGAAGCATCCTCTGGAGACTCGTGGTGAGGAGAACAAATGAATGAAGTAACTGGCAGAAATTAGAGGTCCTGGTAGAACAAAATTGAATCCCACAATGAGAACACACACCATGTATGTCCCCCAAGGAAGACAATATCTCCTAAAAACTCAAGCACCTCATATCCAGTAATGTGATCCATGTATCAAGATCATGAGAAAAGATTATTAAACATGCTAAACTCAGCAAGACCTGATTCGTTCATGAGGACCCTGTTAAGGATTAGTACCACTCAGCAAGTGATGACTGTGACATTCACTTTTGAATAGCTCATAAGCATTAATATATTTAATTGTGGATCTAAACCAAAAACCAAGGTGGGGACAAGATGACAATCACAGAATGTCACTGGTATATGTTTAGGTTCAAATACCATTATGAGAAGTGGCAGGTAAAGAAGGTAGAAAAAAAAACACATCATGTAATTGACTGTCGTATGGAAATATTTGACTTTGAAAGTTATAATTTAAAACATATAAACCAAATATTAGAAGTGTGTCTAGTTCAAAGGGGGGAAAACTATCAAAAACATTTTTAGTGCAATATTAACCATGGGCTATACAACCCTTCCTAAATGCCAAAGGCACACACAGACAGACACACACTCACAAAGAATACAAATAACTAGAACCAAGAAATGTAGTAAATACATTCTGCTACATATGGTAAACATAGCCTACCATGTGGAAGAGATTAGAAAATAAACAGGAAAATGAAAATGTTTTTATTAATTCACATCAGTACCCATGAAAACCAATCAGCGTAATAAAAGATTCCAACACTGAATGAAAAACAGTCCGACAGTCCAGAGTGACGGGCAAAAGTTTTTAATTGTATAGATTAAAATTAACTTTGGACAAAAATTAAAACTCAGGCAGAGAATTTTTTTCAACAACAGATACTAGCAAAAACAAAGGCACAGTAAAAATTGAGACAGAAAATTTCCAGGGTAGAGATATGAATCTAATAATAGACATAGGCAGGGATGATTAATAAATGATAAAATGTTTAGAGCATGATCATTAGAATACAGGACACTTATATTTTAAAAACCACTTTCCCAAATACTTCATTATAAGGAAGGTATCTCTAAAAGGGACAGATCTCCTAGACCCCTCTTTAACCAAGTAACCTGTCCTGATATCATGATCATGGTGATGGACAAACTAGACCTTCTCTGCCTGCAGATGGGCTGAGGTTGGAAACTCACAGCATTGACTTTGCAGTGTTCCCAACAAAACGTTTAGGCTGAATTTAATCATGAAGACATTTTCAGACAACTTCAGAATGTAGATCATTGAGCCAAACAGCTGACCTGTCCTCTACAAACAAGTCTATGTCACCACAATCAATGACAACAACAAAAAGATGAGGAGATATTTTGGGTTCAAAATAACTGAAGAAATGTAGCTACATTATCTTTTTACTTTTTTTGAACCCAAAGTATCTCTTTTCCTTTCTGTTGTGTGATTCATGGTGACATGGACTGTGTGAAGGAGACAGGTCAGTTGCCCTGTTCAGTGTTCTACATTCTGCAGTTGTCTGGTGATTACCTCCTATGAAACCCACGTTAAGCGTTTTCTACAAGAACATGGCATTGTTCATATTCTGTACCGGCAGAGTCCTGGGTGACATGCTGTCTCCTGCCAGTGGCTCCTGACTCCTGTTCTCTACAGGATGGAATTGAGAGGAGCAGGGCTGAGGCCTCTCAATGCTGTTTGTCCATCTAGCTGTGGTCTTCCTAAGTATCGATATCAACTGGAGGCTGAAGGACTGTGGCTTCTCTAACCAAAAGAGCCTAGTGGGTTAACAACTGTCAAGAGCAGTCAGTGGTTCTGAAATACAATCCTCAGCCAAGGATCCCTCCTGTGTTACAGATGGATCCGCTAAAACAAGCCAACACTGAAGATAGAAAGAATGGGGTTAGGTTCATTGAAACCAGGGTAACACCTTTGGATGAGCTAAACACAAAGATGACACTAACCTTGAGCAGGTGTAGAAGCTCAGAGACATGCCGGCAAAATGAAATCCCTGAAGAACTTTGTAGCTACCCAGAGATATGTGGGTATATCTTTCAAATTAGAATGTCTGACAGATCACTCCCGGCATGTGCTGCATAGTTATGTAAACGTGTCACACCTAACTTGGGTCCAATGTCTTCAGACTGAGCACAGGTTGCCACTGGCATGGTCTGAGAATAGGAATAGGGCCATGCCCACTGATCCATCCTATGTCTGGGCTTCCAAATGGAACTACAGTTTCATTCAAGCCTACATGTGCCTATAGGTCCTGCCTGCAGCAATGACATCTCTCAGCTTAGTAAGGGCTGCTTAGTGTGGGAATATGACTACCATCTGGAAGACCAGGTGGAGCCTTATCACTGTCAAAGTAAAAAACCTATTGTCCATGTCAAGGGACAAGCTAATGTGCTGTTCCTCAAATGAGTAAAAGGCACTTCTGTAGTGCTGAAATGAGTCAGGTAATTCAAAGTAAGTTGAAGAAGTCGAATAACATCTATCCAATGAGTCCTGCAAGACTCCAGGCTCTTCCACTTCCACCAGCACGCTGTTGAGCCTGGAAAAGGAGACAAAACTAAAGAAGCAGCCAGGGAAAATCAGACACCACAGAGCCCCAACTAGATTTCAGGGGTAACATGAGGAAGTGGTTAAAAAAGAAAAAGGATAGATCCATTAATGAGGTAAAACAATTATTGACTTTATGTTGGGATAGAACAGGGCCAGGTAGAAAACATTGAAAGAGAAAGACAGAGAGAGAGAGAGAGGCAGAGACAGAGAGAGACAGAGAGAGAAAGAGAGAGAGAGAAAGTGAGCTCAGTGAATTGGCCAGGTGACACACTGATAAGGGAGAAAAAGGACACTCTGAGTTGGTGCCCTCATGACACACAGCAAACAGTGATCATGAAAAGAATGAGCTCAATAGTTTTCCATAAAATGTGCTCAAAATTCGATGCAGTCACCATGAGAGTACAGCTTTTGAGGTATGGTCAACCTGTGATACGTTAGTAAATGATAAGGGGAGGAAGAAATGGAAACCTAAACGTCTACTGCAATGAAAACCAACAGCAATGTCAATAGGAGGAATTCAGCCTTCATTGAAAACATGAAATCAAACATACTCTGTTTTCCCTGGATCTGTCGTCTCCAGGTGTTAACACAGAACTAAGCATCCACAATTGCTGAAAGTTACCTGGGGCATGGTGGGTTTTGATCTTCTTCCCCTTCTTGGTACTTTTCAATTTCTGCAATAAATTCAGACATGGACAGACACATTAAGCTGATTCCCCTACACACATACAATCCACTGTCTAATCCTCACACAGGGACCTCAGGCGCCTCAGCATGAGAATACAACACTGTGAGAGACATATTTCCAGAGGCCTGAAGGCTGGTCATGATAGAGATTCCTTGGTTTTTGTCCCAGAAACTGTGGGTAAAATGTCCCTATTCTGGCAGATCGTTATCCCAATATCATTTGTCACAAGTTTGTGCAAATGGTTATGCCATATTTTTCCAATCAATTTAAAGCAAATACCCTCAAAAGACTTCTAGGAGAAAAACTGCAATATTTAGCCCTGTCTCATCAAATACTCAGATTGTTCATGGTTGTGAGGATTTTAGACACTAAAATTAGAGTGAAAAAGGAAATCGACAAACCCTTGAGTCAAATCATAGTTCTCTGAATTTGTCACATCTGCCCAGGTCCAATGTCTTGAGAGTAGAATCAGAGTGACACAGGCATGGCCTGAGACTAGGAAGACAGCCATGCTCACTGACCAATCCCATGTCTGGGCTTCCAGGTAGAACTAGAGTTTCATTCAACCTACATGTGCCTACAGGTCCTCACTGCAGCAATGACATCTCTCAGCTCAGTAACGGCCACTTGGAGCAGGAATATGATCTCTATATGGAAGACTCAGTGGATCCTTATCACCTTCATAGAAAGGTACTCACCATCCACATCAAGAGAAAAGCCAATGTGTTGTTCCTCCAGTGAGTAAAAGAAATTTCTGTAGGGCTGGCAGGAGTCAGGCAGTTCAAGATAACTGGAAGGAGATGAATAACATCTATCCAGTGAGTCCTGCAAGACTTCAGGATCTACTACCTCCAGTAGCTCCCAGCTGAGACCGGAAAAATAGAAAAAGTAAAGAATAAGCCAGAGGAAATCAGACACAACAGAGCCTCAACTGGATTTCATGGGTAGCATTAGGAAGTGGTTAAAAAAGAAAAAGGAGAGACGTGCCCAAGATGGCCAAATAGGAACAGCTCCAGCCTCCAGCTCTCAGCGTGGCAACACAGAAGACGGGTGATTTCTGCATTTTCAACTGAGGTACTGCGTTCATCTCTCTGGGGTGTGTTGGACAGTTGGTGCTGGTCTGCAGGTGCAGCCTGACCAGCGAGAACTGAAGCAGGCGAGGCATCACCTCACCTGGGAAGCGCAAGGGGGAAGGGAATTCCTTTTCCTAGCCAAAGGAAATTGAGACAGATAACACCTGGAAAATCCGGTAACTCCCACACTAATATTGCGCTTTATCAAGGTTCTTAGCAAACGGCACACCAGGAGATTATATCACACACCTGGCCCAGAGGGTCCCTGGCCCACAGAGCCTCCCTCATTGCTAGCACAGCAGTCTGAGATCTAACTGCAAGGTGGCAGTGAGGCTAGGGGAGGGGCGCCCTCCATTGCTAAGGCTTAAGTAGGTAAACAAAGCCACTGGGAAGCTCGAATTGGGTGAAGCCCACCACAGCTCAAGGAGGCCTGCCTGCCTCTGTAGACTCCACCTCTGGGGACAGGGCATAGCTAAACAAAAAGCAGCAGAAACCTTGGCAGAGGTAAATGCCCCTGTCTGACAGCTATGAAGTGAGCAGTGGATCTCCCAGCACGGAGGTTGAGGTCTGAGAACGGACAGACTGCCTGCTCAAGTGGGTCCCTGACCCCTGAGTAGCCTGACTGGGAGACATCCCCCACTAGGTGCAGACCGACACCTCACACCTCACATGGCAGGGTACACCCCTGAGACGAAGCTTCCAGAGCAAGAATCAGACAGCAACACTTGCTGTTCAGCAATATTCTATCTTCTGCAGCCTCTGCTGCTGATACCCAGGCAAACAGCATCTGGAGTGGACCTCAAGCAAATGCCAATAGACCTGCAGCTGAGGGTCCTGAATGTTAGAAGGAAAACTAGCAAACAGAAAGGACACCCACACCAAAACCCCATCAGGACACCATCATCAAAGACCAAAGGAAGATAAAACCACAAAGATGGGGAAAAAGCAGTGCAGAAAGCTGGAAATTCAAAAAGTAAGAGCGCGTCTCCCGCTCCAAAGGAACGCAGCTCATCGCCAGCAACAGAACAAAGCTGGATGGAGAATGACTTTGATGAGTTGAGAGAAGAAGGCTTCAGTTGATCAAACTTCTCAGAGCTAAAGGAGGAACTATGTAACCAGAGCAAAGAAACTAAAAACCTTGAAAAAGATTTGACGAATGGCTAACTAGAATAACCAACATAGAGAAGTCCTTAAAAGAACTGACAGAGATGAAAACCATAACATGAGAACTACGTGACAAATGCACAAGCTTCAGGAACCGACTCAATCAACTGGAAGAAAGAGTATCAGCGATTGAAGATCAAATAAATGAAATGAAGCAAGAAGAGAAGTGTAGAGAAAAAAGAGTAAAAAGAAATGAACAAAGCCTCTAAGAAATATGGGATTATGTGAAAAGACCAAATCTACGTCTGATTGGTGTGCCTGAAAGTGACGGAGAAAATGTAACCAAGTTGGAAAACACTCTGCAGCATAGCATCCAGGAGAACTTCCCCAACCTAGTAAGGCAGGCCAACATTCAAATTCAGGAAATACAGAGAATGCCACAAAGATATTCCTGGAGAAGAGCAACCCCAAGACACATAATTGTCAGATTCACCAAAGTTGAAATAAAGGAAAAAATGTTAAGGGCAGCCAGAGAGAAAGGTCGGGTTACCCACAAAGGGAAGCCCATCAGACTAATAGCAGATCTCTCGGCAGAAACTCTACAAGCCAGAAGAGAGTGGGGGCCAATATTCAACATTCTTAAAGAAAAGAATTTTCAACCCAGAATTTCATATCCAGCCAAACTAAGTTTCATAAGTGAAGGAGAAATGAAATCCCTTACAGATAAGCAAATGCTCAGAGATTTTGTCACCACCAGGTCTGCCCTACAAGAGATCCTGAAAGAAGCACTAAACATGGAAAGGAACAATTGGTACCAGCCATTGCAAAAACAGGCCAAAATGTAAACTCCATCGATGATAGGAAGAAACTGCATCAACTAACGAGCAAAATTACCAGCTAACATCATAATGACATTATGATATTAAGTTCACACATAACAATATTAACCTTAAATGTAAATTGACTAAATGCTCCAATTAAAGACTGGCAAATTGGATAAAGAGTCAAGACCCATCAGTTTGCTGTATTCAGGAGACCCATCTCACATGCAGAGACACACATAGGCTCAAAATAAAGGGATGGAGGAAGATCTACCAACAAATGGAGAATAAACAAAAAGCAGGAGTTGCAATCCTAGTCTCTGATAAAACAGACTTCACACCATCAATGATCAAAAGAGACAAAGAAGGCCATTACATAATGGCAAAGGGATCATTCATCAGGAAGAGCTAACTATCCTAAATATATATGCACCCAATACAGGAGCACCCAGATTCATAAAGCATGTCCTTAGAGACATACAAAGAGACTTAGATTCCCATACAATAATAATGGGAGACTTTCACACCCCACTGTCAACATTAGACAGATCAACAAGACAGAAAGTTAACAAGGATATCCAGGAATTCAACTCAACTCTGCACCAAGCAGACCTAATAAACATCTACAGAACTCTCCACCCCAAATCACTGGAATATACATTCTTCTCAGCACCACATCGCACTTATTCCAAAACTGACCACATAGTTGGAAGTAAAGCACTCCTCAGAAAATGTAAAAGAACAAAAATTATAACAACTGTCTCTCAGACCACAGTGCAATCAAACTAGAACTCAGGACTAAGAAACTCAATCAAAACCACTCAACTACATGGAAACTGAGCAACCTGCTCCTGAGTGACTACTGGGTACATAACGAAATGAAGGCAGAAATAAAGATGTTCTTTGAAACCAATGAGAACAAAGATACAACATACCAGAATCTCTGGGACAGATTTAAAGCAGTGTGTAGAGGGAAATTTATAGCACTAAATGCCCACAAGAGAAAGCAAGAAAGATCTAAAATTGACACTAACATCACAATTAAAAGAACTAGAGAAGCAAGAGCAAACACATTCAAAAGCTAGCAGAAGGCAAGAAATAACTAAGATCAGAGCAGAACTGAAGGAGACAGAGACACATAAAACCCTCCAAAAAATCAATGAATCCAGCAACTGGTTTTTTGAAAAGATCAACAAAATTGGCAGACTGCTAGCAAGACTAATAAAGAAGAAAAGAGAGAAGAATCAAATAGACGCAATAAAAATGTTAAAGGGGATATCACCCCAAACCCCACGGAAATACAAACTACCATCAGAGAATACTATAAACACCTCTACACAAATAAACTAGAAAACCTAGAAGAAATGGATAATTTCCTGGACACTTACACTCTCCAAAGACTAAACCAGGAAGAAGTGGAATCCCTGAATAGACCAATAGCAGGCTCTGAAATGGAGGCAATAATTAATAGCCTACCAACCAAAAAAAGTCCAGGACCAGACGGATTCACAGCCGAATTCTACCAGAGGTACAACGAGGAGTTGCTACCATTCCTTCTGAAACTATTCCAATCAATAGAAAAAGAGGGAATCCTCCCTAACTCATTTTATGAGCCCAGCATCATCCTGATACCAAAGCCTGGCAGAAACACAACAAAAAAAGAGAATTTTAGACCAACATCCCTGATGAACATCGATGCAAAAATCCTCAATAAAATACTGGCAAACCGAATCCAGCAGCACATCAAAAAGCTTATCCACCATGATCAAGTGGGCTTCATCCCTGGGATGCAAGGCTGGTTCAACATACACAAATCAATAAATGTAATCCAGCATATAAACAGAACCAAAGACAAAAACCACATGATTATCTCAATAGATGCAGAAAAGGCTTTTGACAAAATTCAACAGCCCTTCATGCTAAAAACTCTCAAAAAATTCGGTATTGATGGAACGTATCTCAAAATAATAAGAGCTATTTATGACAAACCCACAGCCAATATCATACTGAATGGGCAAAAACTGGAAGCATTCCCTTTGAAAACTGGCACAAGACAGGGATGCCCTCTCTCACCACTCCTATTCAACATAGTGTTGGAAGTTCTGGCTAGGGCAATCAGGCAAGAGAAAGAAATCAAGGGTATTCAGTTAGGAAAAGACGAAGTCAAATTGTCCCTGTTTGCAGATGACATGATTGTATATTTAGAAAACTCCATCATCTCAGCCCAAAATCTCCTTAAGCTGATAAGCAACTTCAGCAAAGTCTCAGGATACAAAATCAATGTGCAAAAATCACAAGCATTCTTATACACCAGTAACAGACAAACAGAGAGCCAAATCATGAATGAACTCCCATTCACAATAGCTTCAAAGAGAATACAATACCTAGGAATCCAACTTACAAGGGATATAAAGGACCTCTTCAAGGAGAACTACAAACCACTGCTCAGGGAAATAAGAGGACACAAACAAATGGAAGAACATACCATGCTCATGGATAGGAAGAATCAGTATCATGAAAATGGCCATACTGCCCAAGGTAATTCATAGATTCAATGCCATCCTCATTAAGCTACCAATGACTTTCTTCACAGAATTGGAAAAAACTGCTTTAAAGTTCATATGGAACCAAAAAAGACCCCGCATCACCAAGACAATCCTAAGCCAAAAGAACAAAGCTGAAGGCATCACGCTACCTGACTTCACACTATACTACAAGGCTACAATAACCAAAACAGCATGGTACTGGTACCAAAACAGAGATATAGACCAATGGAACAGAACAGAGTCCTCAGAAATAATACCACACATCTGATCTTTGGCAAACCTGAGAAAAACAAGAAATGGGGAAAGGATTCCCTATTTAATAAATGATGCTGGGAAAATTGGCTAGCCATAAGTAGAAAGCTGAAACTGGATCCTTTCCTTACTCCTTATATGAAAATTAATTCAAGATGGATTAGAGACTTAAATGTTAGACCTAATACCATAAAAACACTAGAAGAAAACCTAGGTAATACCATTCAGGACATAGGCATGGGCAAAGACTTCATGTCTAAAACACCAAAAGCAATGGCAACAAAAGCCAAAATTGACAAATGGGATCTAATTAAACTAAAGAGCTTCTGCACAGCAAAAGAAACTACCATCAGAGTGAACAGGCAACATACAGAATGGGAGAAAATTTTTGCAATCTACTCATCTGACAAAGGGCTAATATCCAGAACCTACAAAGAACTCAAACAAATTTACAAGAAAAAAACAAACAACTCCATCAAAAAGTGGGCAAAGGATATGAACAGACACTTCTCAAAAGAAGACATACAGCCAACAAACACATGAAAAAAAGCTCATCATCACTCACCATCAGAGAAATGCAAATCAAAACCACAATGAGATACCATCTCACACCAGTTAGAATGGCAATCATTAAAATGTCTGGAAACAACAGGTGCTGGAGAGGATGTGGAGAAATACGAACACTTTTACACTGTTGGTGGGACTATAAAATAGTTCAACCATTATGGAAAACAGTGTGGCGATTCCTCAAGGATCTAGAACTAGAAATACCATATGACCCAGCCATCCCATTACTGAGTATATACCCAAAGGGTTATAAATCATGCTGCTATAAAGACACATGCACACATATGTTTATTGCAGCACTATTCACAATAGCAAAGACTTGGAGTCAACTCAGATGTCCATCAGTGACAGACTGGATTAAGAAAATGTGGCACAATGAGATCACTTGGACTCAGGAAGGGGAACATCACACACAGGGGCCTATCATGGGGAGGGGGGAGGGGGGAGGGATTGCATTGGGAGTTATACCTGATGTAAATGACGAGTTGATGGGTGCAGCACACCACCATGGCACAAGTATACATATGTAACAAACCTGCACGTTATGCACATGTACCCTACAACTTAAAGTATAATAATAATAAATAAATTTAAAAAAAAAAAAAAAAGAAAATGTGGCACATATACACCATGGAATACTATGCAGCCATAAAAAAGGATGAGTTTGTGTCCTTCGTAGGGACATGGATGCAGCTGGAAACCGTCATTCTCAGCAAACTATTGCAAGAACAGAAAACCAAATACCGCATGTTCTCACTCATAGGTGGGAATTGAACAATGAGATCACTTAGACACAGGAAGGGGAACATCACACACCAGGTACTATTGTGGGAAGGGGGTAGGGGGAGGGATAGCATTAGGAGATATACCTAATGTAAATGATGAGTTAATGGGTGCAGCACACCAACATGGCACGTGTATATATATGTAACAAACCTGCACATTGTGCACATGTACCCTAGAACTTAAAGTATAATAAAAAAAAAAAAAAAAAGAAAACAAAAAGCATAGATCCATCAATGAGGTTACAAATTATTGCCTTTATGTTGTGATAGACCACGGACAGGTAGAAAAGGATGAAAGAGAAGGACACACACACAGAGACACACACACACACACACACACAGAGAGAGAGAGAGAGAGAGCTCAGTGAATTGGCCAGGTGACACACTGATGAGAGAGTCAAGGACACTCTGTACTTGTGCCGTCAGGACACACAGTGAACAGTGATCATGAAAAGAGTGGGCTCAATAATTTCGCATAAAATGTGATCAAGTTTCCCAGCAGTCACCATGAGAATACAGCTTTTGAGGTATGGTCAACCTTCACTATGTTAGTAAATGATAAGGGTAGGAAGAAATGGAAACCTAAACATTTACTGTAATGAGAATCAAAAGCAATGTTAGTAGGGGTAATTCAGACTTGTCTGACAAGATGAAATCATTATTTTCAGCATGTACTGTTTTCCCTGCACTTGGCATCTCCAGGTGTCAACATCAAATTAATAGTCCACAATTTCTCAGACTCACCTGGGACCTGTGTCCTCTTGGTCCTACTTTTTCACTTGATCCCACCAATGTCCTGCAAATAAATTCAGATGGGGCCTCTTACATTAAGCAGTTCTTCCTTACACACAGAAACAATCCTCTGTCCAATCCTAACACAGGGCCATCAGTCTTCTCAGTGTGAGAACAGGAGACTTTGAGAAAAATATACCAGGAGGCCTGAGGTCAAGTCTTGAAAGAACTGACTTGGTTCCTTTCATGAGCCTTGGGCAAAATTCCCGTTTTGGAACGTTATCTTCCCAATGAGCTCTGTCCTAGGTTTCTGTACAAATGAGCAAAGTCTTTCCCAATAGATTGTAGGCAAATAGTTCTAACACCTCGTAGAAGAGATACTGCAATATTCAGGCTTCTCTCATCAAATACCCAGGATTTGATACTTTACGAGATTGGGGACACTGAGATTTGATGAAGGGGTGCAATGTACCAGCTCTTGAGTCACAATGAACTTGGTTCTACACAGAAGCATCAGCTATTATGGTTTTGTGGATGAAAAGTCAGTCATTTATCTAGAAATCATACCAGCAAGATGATGGACAGCTGAGCTAAAACAAGCCAACTTAGAAGACACAGAAAATGGGGATGAATTCAGTGAAACCTGGGTCACATCTTCCACTGAGAGGTAGACAAGGGTGACACTGGCCTTGGGCAGGTAGAGAACCACACAGACATGCTTTGGGAACAAAACTCATAAGGAACTTAGTAGCTGGCAAGAGACATTTAATTCAGATGAGCTGATCTGACAGACAACTCCTGGGCATGTGCTGCAGAGCTTGGTGTGAGTTCGCCACACCTGCCTTGAGTTCAATGTCCTGACAGTCAGTCAAGGGTGGCAAGGGCATGGCCTGAGACTAGGAAGAGAGCAAAGCTCACTGACTCACCCCATGCCTGTGCTTCAGACTCAACTCCAGAGTGATTGAAATCTACACTGATATATAGGTTCAGCTCACAGTGATGGCAACTCTCAGCCCAACCAGGGGCACAAGGCCCAAAGATTATGGGGTCCACCTGGGACACGAACTGGAGCTTCATCACCTTCACAATGGAGTACTCACTGCCTATGTCAAGAGCCAAGCCGACTTGCTGTTCTTCTAATGAGGGAAAGGTGCTCTTGTAAGACTGGTACGAGGCAGACATGTCAGCAGGAATTGAGAGAGTCAAATAACCTTCATCCCAGGACTCCTAGGGGGCTTCCTCCTCTTCAGACTCCTGCAGATTCCTGATGAGCCAGGCAGGACAGAGATGACAGAAGATTAAACCAACAGAGATTAGACAACAAAACCCCCCAGATGATCTGATGGGAGAGAGAATGGAGTGGTCACAGAAACCAAAGGCATTTTTCCTTCAAGAGAAATAAAACTATCCTTCTAAATGCAGGGTGGAGGGTGACTGCTCTGAGGACAGAGCAAAAATGGGCAGCACGTGCTCAGTATATTTGCCACAGATGAGCCAACGCAGGGCACCCAGACTCTCCCTGTAAACTACTGTCATGACTTGCAGCACAGAGAACTAACACAGGGCTTCAACTACTTTGCATAAATTGGGTTGAATTTTGCATGCGGCATTCAAGTGAACAGAGCTCTTGAGGCAGTGCAGACACACAGCTTGTGTATTAAGGGCCCCATTTTTCCAATATTTTGATATAATATGTTTATTTTTCCAATTTCTTTTCTTGCACAAATATTAGCAAACATACTAACAACAAATGGGCAGAAAGCATATATACATCTCTCTCTGGATTTAAACACATGGGAGAGAACAGGTGACACCAAGAAATCCCTGTTTGAGGGTCTGGAGTGGACTTTCAGCAAACTCCAACAGACCTGCAGCTGAGGGACCTGACTGTTAGAAGGAAAACTAACAAACAGAAAGGAAAAGCATCCACATCAACAAAAAGGACATCCACACCAAAACCCCATCTGTAGGTCACCAACATCAAAGACCAAAGGTAGATAAAACCACAAAGATGGGGAGAAACCAGAGCAGAAAAGCTGAAAATTCTAAAAACCAGAGCGCCCCTTCTCCTCCAAAGGATCACAGCTCCTTGCCAGCAACGGAACAAAGCAGGATGGAGAATGACTTTGACGAGGTGACAGAAGTAGGCTTCAGAAAGTCGGTAATAACGAACTTCTCTGAGCTAAAGGAGGATGTGCAAAACCATCACAAGGAAGCTAAAAACCTTGAAAAAAGAATAGATGAATAGCTAACTAGAATAAACAGTGTAGAGAAGACCTTAAATGACCTGATGAAGCTGAAAACCATGGCACGAGAACTACGTGACATATGCACAAGCTTCAGTAGCTGATTCGATCAAGTGGAAAAACGAATATCTGTGATTGAAGATCAAATGAATGAAATGAAGCAAAAAGAGAAGTCTAGAGGAAAAAAAAACAGTAAAAAGAAATGAACAAAGCCTCCAAGAAATATGGGATTATGTGAAAAGACCAAACCTATATTTGATCAGTGTACCTGAAAGTGACGGGGAGAATGTAACCAAGCTGGAAAACACTCTTCAGGATATTATCCAGGAGAACTTCCCCAACCTAGTAAGGCAGGCCAACATTCAAATTCAGGAAATACAGAGAACACCACAAAGATACTCCTCGAGAAAAGCAACCCCAAGAATCATAATTGTCAGATTCACCAAGGTTGAGATGAAGGAAAAAATGCTAAGGGCAGCCAGAGAGAAAGGCTGGGTTACCCACAAAGGGAAGCCCATCAGACTAACAGCAAATCTCTCGGTAGAAATCCTACAAGCCAGAAGAGAGTGGGGGCCAATATTCAACATTCTTAAAGAAAAGAATTTTCAACCCAGAATTTCATATCCAGCCAAACGAAGCTTCATAAGTGAAGGAGAAATAAAATCCTTTACAGACAAGCAAATGCTCAGAGATTTTGCTACCACCAGGCCTGCCTTACAAGAGCTCCTGAAGGAAGCACTAAACATGGAAAGGAACAACCGGTACTAGACACTGCAAAAACATGCCAAATTGTAAAGATCATTGCTGCTAGATAGGAAGAAAGTACATCAACTAATGGGCAAAATAACCAGCTAACATCATAATGACAGGATCAAATTTACACATAACAATATTAACCTTAAATGTAAATTGACTAAATGCTCCAACTAGAAAATAGACTGGCAAATTGGATAAAGAGTCAAGACCCATCAGTGTGCTGTATTCAGGAGACCCATCTCACATGCAGAGACACACATAGGCTCAAAATAAAGGGATGGAGGAAGATCTACCAAGCAAATGGAAAACAAAAAAGGGCAGGGGTTGCAATCCTAGTCTCTGATAAAACAGACTTTAAACCAACAAAGATCAAAAGAGACAAAGAAGGCCATTACATAATGGTAAAGGGATCAATTCAACAAGAAAAGCTAACTATCCTAACTAAACATATATGCACCCAACACAGGAGCACCCAGATTCATAAAGCATGTCCTGAGAGACCTAAAAAGAGACGTAGACTCCCACGCAATAATAATGGGAGACTTTAACACCCCACTGTCAATATTAGACAGATCAATGAGACAGAAAGTTAACAAGGATATCCAGGAATTGAACTCAGTTCTGCACCAAGCAGACCTAATAGACATCTACAGAACTCTCCACCCCAAATCAATGGAATATACATTCTTCTCAGCACCACATCGCCCTTATTCCAAAATTGACCACATAGTTGGAAGTAAAGCACTCCTCAGAAAATGTAAAAGAGCAAACATCACAACAAACTGTCTCTCAGACCACAGTGTAATCAAATTAGAACTCAGGATAAAGAAACTCATTCAAAACCGCACAACTACGTGGAAACTGAACAACCTGCTTCTGAATGACTACTGGGTAAATAATAAAATGAAGGCAGAAATAAAGATGTTGTTTGGAACCAATGAGAACAAAGACACAACATACCGGAATCTCTGGGACACATTTAGAGCAGTGTGTAGAGGGAAACTTATAGCACTAAATGCCCACAAGAGAAAGCAGGAAAGATCTAAAATTGATACTCTAACATCACAATTAAAAGAACTAGAGAAGCAAGGCAAACAAATTCAAAAGCTAGCAGAAGACAAGAAATAATAACGAAGATCAGAGCAGAACTAAAGGAGATAGAGACACAAAAAAACCCTTCAAAAAATCAGTGAATCCAGGAGCTGGCTTTTTGAAAAGATCAACAAGAAAACCCTGTTTGGTTCGCTCACCTGGTTCATCTGATTGCAAGTGCCTATATTGAGAGGACTATGAAATTAAAACCAATACAGTTACCACAAATAACGCACAACATTGTTAATAAGGACAATTTGTAGCTGGGTGAACAGAAGAAATAGTTCTATTCATCACCACCCCTTTTTCCCTAAATCTACAATCTCTAGGTGTCACTACTGAAGTAACAGCCCACAGTTCCACAGCATTACCTGGGAGACACTGGCCCTTTTTCTTCCTCTTCCTCATCATCGCTTTCATTTTCTGTAAATAAATTCAGGGAAGCAGGTCACATTAAGCAATTCACACTTCACATATGACCAAATCACTGTCCAGTCATAGCACAAGGATGTAACTATTCTCAGTGCAAGAATATGAATTCTGACAGGAATATTCTAGGGTGCCCTAGATAAAGTGTGGTGAGAAGTAGATGACCCTGCTTTCCAGACCCACAGGCCAAAGTCTCCCTCTACATGTAGACCATAATGCCATATTCCCTGCCTGAGTCAAAGTTAAACAAAATTTTTCCCAAAAAACTCTCCAGAAATTGGTCAAACAATTTTCTAGGAGTGTTGCTGCAATACTGACTTATATCACCAGGTAACATGGACATTAAATGTTTAGAGGCATCTATACATGAAACTCGACTGATAGATACATTTGAACAACTCTTGCTTTGAAAAGAATCTGTGATTTGGGAGGCCAAGACAGGTGAATCATTTCAGGTCATGAGTTAAAGACCAGCCTGGCCAATATGGGGAAACCTGGTCTCTACTAAAAATACAAAAATTAGCCAGATGCAGTGGTGTGCACCTGTGGTCCCAGCTACTCAGGAGGCTGAAGCAAGAGAATCACCTGAATCTGGGAGGCAGAGGTTGCACCAAGCCAAGATGGTGACATGGCACTCCAGTCTGGGTGACAGAGCAAGACTCCATTGCAACAACAACAAAAAAATCTATGATGCTAAAAAGAAACACTGGATCAGCCATTGCACTGATGGGGTGGAGAAACAGGGTCCAGCCTTGCTTTATGGAAATATATCAGCAAAGTAAAGAAGAAAATTTTCCATCCTGATTTCAGGGTGACTGTGCTGCTAAGCAAGCTGACTTAAAGGAGATCAAGATTAAAGCTGAGAGCAGTGAAGCCTAGGGATCAATATTTCCAGCTACAAAGGCAAGGCTGCCAGCTTCCTTAAAAAGGCATAGAAACTCCATGAACATTGTTCAGGGACAGATGACTTAATCGCAGATGACAAGAGATACTGAATCGAAGCTAGAAGGCCTGACAGATACTTCCTGTGTACCTCCTGCACTCAGGTGACTATGAGATTGTCACATCTGCATGGGGTCCAGTAACTTGATACTGGGGACTGGCAGACAAAGGCATGACATGAGCTGAGAAGGACAAAAAACTCCCTGATATCTGTTTAGATGCCACCGTAGGTTTTATTCAAACCAATTTGTGTGTATAGAGCCTGTCTTCAGAGTTTACCTTCCTCAACCTAGACAGAGGCAGGAGACATAAGGAAAAGAGAGGCTACCTGGGATAATATGTACAGCATCTGCCCACTCATCATGAGAGGATGAGTCAATGAAAGGTGAGTTGAATTTGTCTTCATCAAATGTGATCTTGGTATTCCTGTGTGGCTGGTTCGAGTCATAAGGGCCGTGGCTATTTGAACAAGTGACAGCACATTCCTCCAGTGAGTCCTCAGGGACTTCCCTTTCTTTGGCCTTCTGCACCTCCCTGATGAGCCAGGTGGGACAGAGAAGAAAGAAGATTAAACACAGGGGGATTGGACCCCAGGGAATCCTAGCTGGTTTTGGCAAGAGGCAAAAAGAGAGTAGTCCAAGAAAGCAAACAGGAGGTTCCCTTTAAGAAGTGACAGACAATCCTCTTCTCTCTGCAACAGAGCATGGCTGCCGTGGGAGCCAGAGAGGAAGAAAGCAACTCATGTTCACTGCACTGGAAAGACAGGAGCTGAGGAGGATGAAGACTCAGCTCTCCCTGTACAGTACAGACATGACACTCGGCGCACACAGAGAGACAACAGCTGCCACACCCTGTGTCTAAGCTGGGTTGAATTTCACATACTGTGGCCAAGGGAATGCAGGCTTTGGGCCCATCCTAGATGCCAGAGAGGGTGCGCTTCCTAGACCCTTTTCATATGTTACCACCCACTACTTGCTCCTGAGTATTCAGTGTTACCTGGGGGCACACGAATCCTGTACTTTCTCAGCCTCCTCAACTTGAACATCTGCATCCTCACCTTGGCCATTTTCTGTAAATACAGAAGTGTTAGTTCAGGTATTTCCCACTTCACACTCTGCAAGCACAGTCAGCCCAATGAGCACAGAGACATGAACATCTAGGCGTGGGTCACCATCCAACTGAAAGCTCTCATGTTTTATCTTTAACAAAATGCCCTGGCGTTGTTTCCTGATCCATCAGGCAATGCATTTCTGATCTGGAGGGCCACCATCAAGATGTGGCCAAATATTGAAAAGACCTTTTGGTCCCCATATCACTGGAGGCTTGTGCAGCCTCTCTCTGGCCTTTGGCAGCTGTCTCCCCCATCCCGCCACAGATCTGATTCCCAGGCACGGGCTTGGTGTCCTGTCACAGTTTGCATTTCCAACCTAATTCTTTCTTTTAGGAGATGACAAACTTGTCCCACAGTCCTCTATACATCAGGAGACTGCACAGGCCCTCCACGTGGCTTCTGCTGTGTTATTCAGGGACATTCTCTCCATGGGGAGTGCTCCACTCTGAAGCCCTTCCTACCACCAAATGCCCCCACATCAAGTGCCTTCTCCAACACCACACGGCGAGGGGCTTCATCTCATTTTGAAAAACAGTCGTTAAGTGTTCCCACATTTGGATGCTTCAGACCCTTGCAAGAGACAATTTGCCTGCCTTTGCAGATGGAGAGAGAGAAACTCAGGAAGGATAAATCACTCCCTCACCGACAGTTACTAAGAACATTGCCAAAGAGACAGCCTGGGAACCTTCATTCTTAGTCCAGAGCTCTTTTCACTCTAACAAGCGTCCTCCCGTCACAGCCTCCTTCCTGTCCTTTAAAACTAGACAGACGCTGCCTCTTGTTCCAAAGACCACCTTCCATCAAGGAAGGAGGGTCATTTGCAATACTGTGACCTCCAACCTCATGGGTTTCCCATCTCCGTTCTTACCCAGGAAGTCCTGGTCATGTCATGGCCACATGTTTAGTGGAAAAAAGCCCCACCGATACAACTGTCATTGTGAAAGTGTGGAGGTCTGGAGTCTCTCATAAGCCTGGGGTTTGGGGTCATCAGGGCCTGTGGCCATCTTACCTGAGCTGAGCTTGTGGACAAGGTGCTGTGCCAGCCTACACCCCTCAGCCAGCTGTTCTTGGAGGTCCCGCCACTGGGACTTGTCCAGCTCATCCAGAGTGAGGAGGGCCTGGAGATGCTGAGTCAATGAGCAGGAGGCATCTCTCCCTTCCCGTAACTTCTCCCTTAACTGAATCAGCTCTCATGCCTGAGAGTGAACCAGGACTTTATATTGCCTAAGGTGAGATGGTAGAGAACATTTAACAGTGGAAAGGGATGAGCGACAATGTCCTCAAGGAGACCTCCAAGTAGAAGATCAGCACATGTTTAAAGGAATGCCCGTGGCCAAGAGAAAGAATAGAAAATGGTTTACAGGTTTCCTCTGTATCAGAGAGGACTCCTATAAGATCCTTGATGATGTTCCATTCATCTTTCTCTTCTGTAAACAAAAGTAGGTGTCTTCCTAATTCCATTTCAAAAAGACATCCTTTCAGTTCCTCATCCTGGACACGGACATTTCCATGTGAAAATACGCATAGTGCATCTTGCGGCGATAGATACAAAGCCATGTACAGAAATGAGGCCAGGTGCAGATGGGGCGAATTGAAAAGATGAAAGAAGAAAAGAATGACAGGGTCGAGAAGGCAACATTGATTGAGTGGAAGAATGAGACGCCGTAGCCAGTCAGGAGGTGATTCTGACTAAGGGTAAGTGGGGTGGTGATGACACACCATTTTGAGTATACTGAATGCTGCTGGGTGGTTCCCACTCCTTTGATTAATTTCGTGTTATGTAAATTTCACCTCAACAATTATTTGTTTGAAAAAGAGAAAACAAGGCTCTGAGAAACAACTGCAACCCATAACGTATTATTATCCTTGTTCTCTGTTTGATAAATATTTGTGTGTTGTGAGCCTGCCATGGCAATTCCTTCCCTTCCCTGACCCAGCTTAGCTCTTACTTCTCCCGCCGAGCTGCTGTACATCAGAGATTTACACACCTGCCCACCTGCCTGCCCCCATGGGGCCCCCTCACCTGAGCTCCTCAGCTTGCTTGAGCTGCTCTGCGAGCTTCTCCCCCTTGAACTGCAGCTCATCCCTCAGCATAGATTTTATGAGGTCTTTGCACTCTTCATACTCTGAGAAAAGACAGACACGCCTGCCTCAGTGGAAGGCTGGACATGCTGCTGTGGTCACTGCCTACAGGGCAGGAGGCAGGTCCATCCCAAGGACAAAACTGTCCCCACTACCAGGCTCTAGGCAGGGATTTCCACATCTTTACTCTTCAGTCTCCCGACTTTCTGGCATCTGATCCTCCAAAATTTAGAGACAAAGAAAGAGAAACTCAAGGCACATCAAGGAAATTGACAAGATGATTCAACCACAATGAAGTGGAGTCAGAATTCACAGCCCCTGAGGTCTTGAGTCTGAATGCGGGGCCGCTTTCCCAAGCCTTCAGCCTCTCCTCTAAAACACTGCACTGGGCCATGAAGCAGTGATTTCTTGTACAGTTGGGAAGGCCCCTAGGACTATGGGACTGATGGTTTCCCTTTTACTGGGAATTTCAAGGACATGTCAAAGATTTTTAAAATCTTTGATTTCTAAATCATATCTTCAGATATGATTTTAAGAATCATATCTGAAACATAAAGTATGAGACATAAGACCATAAGGCCATGAAGGAAATATGCTCAAATACTAATAAAGTTTGTGTTAATTTAGAAACAGTAGAATGAAGAACTAATAGATAGTGTTTACTCTGTTCCAGTAAGTGTTCTAGGAGATTGACAAGAAATAGCTCATGTAATTCACTGCAGCAATTTACAGAGATAGCTATTATTGTAGTACCCTATGAACAGATGAGGAAACTGAGGGACAGACAAGACAAGCAACTTGGATGGAGCCCAGGATAGAGGCCCAGGGTCCCTGCTCTGCCCACTGCACTACTACTTCCACACATTGTTGGGTGCGATCTTTCTTCCTCTTTAGGAACAAGAGCCTGTGCCCCAGGAAGCAGGACTTCCTCTCACCAGGGTACTCTCTGCTTTTTTTTTTTTTTTTCCTCCTTGACAAGTCTTCCCCTGTCGCCCAGGGCTGGAGTGCAATGGCGCGATCTTGGCTCACTGCAACCTCCGCCTCCTGGGTTCAAAAGATTCTCCTGCCTCAGACTCCCGAGTAGCTGGGATTACAGGTGCCTCCCACCATGCCCAGCTAATTTTTGTATTTTCAGTGGAGACGCGGTTTCTCCATGTTTCCCAGGCTGGTCTCAAACTCCTGACCTCGTGATCTGCCCACCTCAGCCTCCCAAAGTGCTGGGATTACAGGGGTGAGCCACTGTGCATGGCCCCTACTCCCTGCTCTTGATGCTGTCACTTACAGATACCACAGGTTCTATTAGGAGCAGACTCCTCTTGAAGCTCCTCAGAGCGGGTACTGGGTACTATCACAAAGTTTCCCTCAGGGTCACTAGAACAGAGCTTTGACTATTGGGTCTCAACAGAATCTTGTACTGAATAAAAGTTCACTAGTCCCAGACATTTAAAACAACAGACTAGATGTTATTTGTCTGCAGGATCTTATATGGTACAGAGAGGATTCTTGAAAACATGATGAAGCCTCTTGGAGAAAACAGGTCGTTCTGTGCCTGTGTCAGAAAATCAACAATTGGGATTTGAACTCTAGTCCCACCCCCATCTGACTGCAAACATGGAAAGTTGCTAAATACTTTGGTACCTCTGTCTTCCAACCTTAACAAAATGTTAAAATACCCATTTCTGTTTTCCTAGAAGTATGGGAAGGAAGAAATTATTTTTGATGGAGAGAGCATTTAGTTTCTCAGAGGGAAGACAGGACATCTTTCATCACTTTCGTGATGGTGAGCCTATAGATCTTACTGTATTTGTTCTGCCTGTTGACCAGGAAGCAGGCCACTTCACTTGAGTTACAAGAAATTTCTCTTTGATGTTTCTGAACTGCTGTTTCTTCTCTGCCAGCTGGGGGCGCAATTTCTCGTTGATTTCTAGAATGCTCATCTCTGCCTTCTCACTGGACCAAGGGGCGGCAGATACCACCATGCTGAGGTTTGTGGCAGAAGAGGTGGAGCCAGGGACTGGGGAGAAGAAATGCAAACACATGGTGGGTTAAAAACTGGTGAAATCAAATAGGTTTAGTCAGGACTGAGGGATGTCAGTAACTGAAATTCTTAACTTACTGTTGAGAAAAACATGATCACTCCCCACGGCAATTTAGGATCCTTAACCACAAAAACAAGGTTTGAGGTGTCTGAGCTCAGAGCTGAAGGCACTGCCAGTGGCTCAGAGTCTGACAAGAGTGAGGAAGACTGTCGCCAGCGTGCCAGGTAACCGTCTGCAGTTGCAATAACAGAATTAGAAGGTGGGGGTGTCGTGGAATCTTAGGAGCCCTGCATTCCAATTGCCCAGGCTTTGCTGAAACACAGGCACCCTGGTCTCACCTGAGGGTCACCACCAATGGCGATCATTCCTTCAGCATTCACTCTCAGTATTCGTGTACCCTTGTGACAATGGCACAGACCCATCTCTTTCCCAATACATCTAAGCATATTCCTCACTGTTTAGCTCTTGTCTGTACAAAATCGTCAAGGCAGAAACAGTTTCCCAACAGGTTATAGTTTCTTAATGGTAGTCATGAAGTCACCCCACCTGCTGTAAGATAAAACAAAGCCTTAGGCTTTTCCACAGGTGTAAGATACCAAACTTTTAGCCTGCTCTGATATCCTCTGGGTCTTCTGCAGTTTTTTCTGTATCCACTAGAAAGTGAATGAATAATTCATTTTTAAAAAATGTTTTCTTTCCTGTCTCAGTATTCTTCTTCCTGCAACCCACTGTTATGTTGATTTCTTTTTCTCAGTGGGGCACCATCTTGGGCTTTCATTACACTCTAGACCAGTTTGGCATCCCTACGTCCAAAGCTCTTCCTCTATGTGGGTTGATTTGTTTTTTAATGTCACTGAGCACTACATTTCATACTTATCACTTATGGATGTCATTCAAGTGCCACAAGACCTCTTTTCAAGGTATCAAGTGATCACAATAATTTATATAGAGATCTCCTGAAAACATGTGTGACCATCTATCTTGGGAATTTTTGTAAACCTGAGGCTATTTTGTTTTCCCATATACTGAAAAGAACAGGGCCACGAGCAGTTCTTGTGGAATATGGTTTGATGTATATTTTGTTGAGCTGGACTAACACCATTGATTTTTGGTTGCATTCCACTAACAGAACATGGCAAGATCACGGTTCCGGTCAGGGTTGGTTGGTGATCCTCAGTGTTGCTGTGCAGTAGGTGAGTTTGAGGTGAGAGGAATGAGCAGGAAAGAGTGACCCCCTGAACCACCTCCTCACTTTCTCAGCTTTCATTCCCACCTAGGTTTTGTGAGCCTGGAACTTGGGAGACTGTCCTGTAGCCCAGGTCTCCTAAGATTGGCTGGTGGACTTGCCTAAGTTGAGGGTGCAGTGGGTGTGACCCTGGGCTGCCCAGCATTCATGTGGAAGTGAAGGAAGGAGGACTGGATCAATCCCATTTGAAAGCATCCGTCTCTGCAGCCCACACCATCCTCCAATGACACTGTAAGGATACTGCTTTGAGATCTATCAAAGGCTTTAAGTCAATGCATTTTCTGGGGTCTGGGAGTCCTGACATTCTGTGTCAGAATGAAATCTTTCAAGTTTCTAAATGATAAAACTGCAGGTTCACAAAGTTCCATGGCTTACTCGAGGTCACACAGGGATGAGTTTTCAGCACTGCCAATAAAAGCAATCACAATAATTATTCAGTAATTATTCATATGATCCATATAATTCAGTAAATATTCACATAATTATTTAGTAATTATTCATTGACCAATTCATACAAGGCATTTTGTTCAAAACTGTGCTCATATTTGGACATTGTGTCTTCATCATAATCCTTAAGGCAATGCTATTATCCATAAGTAACAGGTAAGAAACCTGAAGAAGAGGGATAGCAAATCATGTGTTTGGCCATTATTTCCATTTTTTGGTTTTTGTGATGCTGGAAGAATGAGCAGAATGAGTCACGGGAAAAGAGTTCATTCCTGTATCATTTTCCAGGACAGAGTTGTGCCTTCCTAGAGTACTGGGACCAAAATTCCCAAGTGTCTGCAACCTTGCTTTAACAGTATGGGAAATAACCTCTATCACCTGGAATTTCCCTGGAACTTTGGAATATGCAAGAGAAGTATGAGACTTGGGTCTTCCCTTGTGTTTAGTTCACTCTTCTATGGAATACCAATGATTCTCACTAAGATTTTTGCCTTTTTATAACCACAATGTATGTTTTATGGAGAAGATTTTACACTTTGCTCTATTTAGAAAGAATAAATATGAGCAATGGTTTAGGTTTCATGTCCTGGACTTAATATTTTTCTGATTTCTGTTTTGAGATTAAATTCTCATGTAAATAGAAAAATACTTATTATTTCTCATAAGGCCAAGTTTGTTATTAGTTTGAGTTTTTGAAGATGAAGCACAAACTTTTGATTTTATCTTTGTCTGTCCCCATCAGCGCCACTCATTGTCTCTCAGTATGACCTAGACTTGCCCTGCAGTTACCCTCGTCCTGCTGAGCCATCTCCTCAGCACTGTCCAATTCCATCAGTGATTCGGGCTCCTCCCAAGCCTCCCTGAAATGGGCACAGGGATCAGGACATCAGACACATTCCAGACACAAAGGCAACCCACACTGTAGAGCAGGCAGCTGTGTTCCCACTTCCCTAATGTTCCAGTGATGTCCTAAAACTGCAAGGAACACTTTCCCTTTTTAGGGGTCTGTTCTTCTTGTCTCAATGCCTCTGATCTAGTGAACACAACTGTCCTGAAAGTGAAAGAACTTGCTAAATTTCTGGTTTCTTGTTAGGTGGCTAGAATAGATTTATAAGACTTCCTTACTTACCCATGACTGCTGAAGTTTGAATTCCTAGCAGGACGATTCCTTTTTTTGTAAGCTGAGCAGCTTAGGAAAGATTGGCCATGTTACTGTGCAAAAAGAGGTAAACTTAATTTCTACTCAAAGCATGCTTGAATTTGAAACTAGGGCTTCCACTATTCCAAAGTTGGACTGTCACTGCCTCAGGCATGTGTCCCGAAGGGCTCATGTATCTGCTGTACTCAAAATAAAGTTTATATGCAGCCCAGCAAGCCAGATCTCTTTCATTTCTAGGTTCCCTCCACAGTTTCTCCTCTGCTTTAGAGACTGCATTGAAAATATTCTTGTTCTGCTGTTGTGTTTTGGCTTTGGAATGATGTGATGCAGCTCAATGGGTCCTACCCCCAAGTTGATCAGAGTAAGAAACACCTGGGGAAGTCAGTGCACATACAAGTTCATTGTCCTCCTTGCAGGGATTCTGATTCAGAAGGCTCAGGTGGGGCCTGGAATGTGTTTGTTAACATGACTCAGATGCGCAGTCAATCTGGGGACCTGCTGATAGCATCGACCTTACAGTTTATGGGATGATTCCTTCTGTTTTGCTGATGAAGAAACTGAGGCACACAGAGCCTGTAACTTGCCCAAGTTCCCCTTGCTGTAAGTCCTGGAGCCAGATCTCAGGTGCAGCAGCCTCTTCCCATCCCCTTCCCACATTTTCCAATTCGGCTGGGTCAGCTCTTTCCAAGTACGTGTTTCTCTCCCCTATACCTCATTTCTGAAAAAAAGGAAAACTGGAATTTAACTTCTTTCATCTAATATATTTCCTCACAACATGCTACCAGCATCGTATTCTGGCCACTTACTATTAAAGTGAGATTTTTTTTTTTTTTTTTTTTTTTTGAGACAGGGTCTTGTTGTGTCACCCAGGCTGGAGTACACTGGTGATTATAGATCACTGCAACCTCGAATTCCTAGGCTCAAGCGATCCTACTGCCTCAGCTTTCCAAGTAGTTGGAACTCTAGGCACACATCACCATTTCTGACTAACTTTTTATTTTTCATAGAGACAAGGTCTTGCTTTGTTGCTCAGGCTGGTTTTGAACTTCTGGCCTCAAGCAATCCTCTCACCTAGGCCTCCAAAAGTGCTGGGATTACAGGAGTGAGCCTCTGAGCCTGGCCCTGAAATGCTTTTTGTTTGTGTTTGTTTTTAATGAAAATACAAGACATGGAGATGTGGAAAGACACCTTGCTTTATTAGTGTTATTAGTATTATTATTTCTACAGTATAATTTATATATCACAAAATTCACCATTTTAAAGCATACATTTCAGTGTCTTTTACCATATTCCAAAAGTTTTGCAATCATCATCACTACCTAATTCCAGAATATTTTCATAATGCCAGAAAGCATGCCTGTATCTACGGGCAGTCACTCTCCAATTCCCCGCTTCTTGCGGTCTCTGACAACCACTGATCTACTTTCTCTATACACAGATGTTCTTATTCTGGGCACTTCCTCTATATGGAATAACAAAGTGTGGCATTTTACATCTGCTTCTCAGCATATTGTTCTCAAGTTTCATCCTTTTCAGCCTGCATCAGTACTTCAACTTTTTCATGGCCAAATAATATTCCACTATATGGTTACACCACATTTTGTTTATTCATCAACTGATGGTGGTTTGTTTCCACTTTTTAACTATTATGAATAATGCTGCTATGAACAGCTTTGTACATGTTTTTAAGTGAACATCTGTTTTTCATTTTCTTGGTTATTAACCTAGGAGTGCAATTGCTGCATCATATGTCACTTTATGTTTAACTTTTTTTTATGTTTAACTTTTTGAGGAATTCATACACAGTTTACCAACTTCAGTGGCTACACCATTTTACATTCCCCCTAGTAATATATGAGAATTTCATATTCTCTGTAACTTTCCAAACATGTATTGTCTTTATTTTTTTCTTTTTTTTTTTTTGAGATGGAGTCTTGCTCTGTCACCCAGGCTGGAGTGCAGTGGCGCAATCTTGGCTCACTGCAAGCTCCACCTCCCAGGTTCATGCCATTCTCCTGCCTCAGCCTCCCGTGTAGCTGGGACTACAAGCGCCCACCACCGCACCTGGCTAATTTTTTGTATTTTTAGTAGAGACGGGGTTTCACCGTGTCAGCCAGGATGGTCTCGATCTCCTGACCTTGTTATCCACCCGTCTCAGCCTCCCAAAGTGCTGGGATTACAGGCGTGAGCCACCACGCCTGGCCTATTTTTTTCTTAAGTCATACTAGTGGGTGTGAAGTGGTATCTCATTTTGGTTTAAATTTACATTTTCCTAATGATGAAAAACACTGAACATCTTCGCATGTGCTTCTTGGCCATTTGTGTGTTTGCTTTAGAGAAACCTCTACTCACAGCTTTTTACCCATTGTCAAATTTGGTTGTTTGTCATTTATTGCTCAGTTATATGAATTCCTCGTATACTCTAGGTACTAGACCCATGTCAAATATATAATTTGGAAATAGTTCTCCCATTATGTGGATTATCTTTTCACTTCCTTGACAGTGTCCTTTAAAGCACATAAGATTTTTATTTTAATGAAGTCCATTTATATATCTATTTTTGAGTTGTTTGTGCCTACTTAAAAAATGTCTAATCCAAAGTCACAAAGATTTATACCTATGTTTTCTTCAAGACATTGTTTTTTGAATGAGAATTTCCTGGGTTTTAGTGGAGCGTGAACATTGCTTATTTATGCCTCCTGTCCAGTACCGATGTTTCTCCTGATTGTTATTCATATGCTCACCACCCCTCCATGGAGCATCCCATGGCCTGTAACAGAGCTTTGGGGACTGATATCCTTCCACTGACTTTGGCACTGGTGAGAGCCCTGGTCGTGTGGTTCAGCTTGGCCTTAACCCGACCCAGTTGCACATATTCCTCAGGGCCTTTACAGTTGAAGTCGAGAGCCTCTCTGAGAACGCTTCCCAGCCCATGCTGTTCTAAGGCTGGAGCAAACTTCCTACGTCTATTCCAGACAGAGGGGACTGCAGGGGTTGGACTCATTCAAGACATCTCTCGTGTTAGACAGTACACCTGTTTCAGGGTTTGAGGAAGATTGTTCAAAATGAACTAGGTTCTATTTTTACTGTATGTGTGACTTCTTTCTAGAAACAAAAGAATATTTATGTTAGAACAGTTTGTCTATTCTTTGTCAATTGTTGTTTGTCTACATTTTAACGTGGATAAAGGAGCGCTCAGTGTAAATATGTTCTTAACAATTATGGTTCATGTCCACTGCCATGCAATCATATTTAAATCTATGAACTGGCCAGACACGGTGGCTCATGCCTGCAATCCCAACACTTGGAGGCCGAAGCAGGCGGATCATGAGGTCAGATCGAGACCATCCTGCCTAACATGGTGAAACCCATCTCTACTAAAAATACAAAAAATTAGCTTGGTGTGGTGGCGGGCGCCTATAGTCCCAGCTACTCGGGAGGCTGAGGCAGGAGAATGGTGTGAACCCAGGAGGTGGAGCTTGCAGTGAGCCAAGATAGAGCCACTGCACTCCAGCCTGGGTGACAGAGCGAGACTCCATCTCAAAAAAAAAAAATCTATGAACTGTCCTGTTACTTAGGTATTATCCTGCTCCTGATGAGAAAACAAACTCAGAAAGATTGCAAAATTTCCCTAGGTCACAAAACTAGTGAGGAGAGGATAAGAATTAGAAACCAGTTCCTTTTAGCCTTCAAAGTTAACCTGGTACCATTAGATCAAACTGATTTACATACTTTTGCTGGAATTAGTCTCAGAGTTTGTGGTTCTCACTTGATTTTCCCAAGGAAACTGTGTGCCACTCTAATATCATTTCAAACTTTGAAATTTAAAACTCTTTTTTATTATACTTTTTTGTCTTTGTTCTATTCCATTGCTTTTGGTTTCTTCTCAACGGATCCCTCTTATTTATATGCTAAATATTTGTTACCTATTTTCTGTCAATTTTCACATTTTTGAGTGTTTGTTTTCTCTCTTTGCTGTTGCTAACAGTTCTTCGCTGAGGTATAATTTGCATAGAGTGTACTGCAAAAAACCTAAAGGTACAGCTTAATAAATTTTAATATAACTATACATTGTATAATAACACCCAGTTAAAGACAGAGAATATTTTCACCCATGCCACAAAGTTCTGATGTGGTCCTTGCCAGTCAACACATCCCCCAAATGAAGAACACATTCTGAATGTTGTCACTGCCTTAGTCCCTTTGTGTTGCTGGAAAGGAATACCAGAGGCTGGGTAATTTATAAAGAAAAGAGGTGCATTTTGCTCATAGTCCTGCAGGCTGCACAAGAAGCATGGCACCCGCATCTGCTCCTCATGAGGGCCTGAGGCTGCTTCCACTTGCAGCAGAAGATGAAAAGGAACCAGTGTGTGCAGAGATCATACGGTGAGAGAGGAAGCAAAAGAGACCGAGTAAAGGTGAGAGGCACTTTTTAATAACCAGCTCCTACAGGAACTAAGAGAGTGAGAATTCACTCACTACCTTCTCCCAGTGTGGAGATTATTCTATTCATGAGGGATCCACTCCCATGCCCCAAACACCTCCCATTAACCCCCACCTCCAATACTGGGGACATTTAAACATGTCATTTCGAGGGGACCAATATTTAAACTATAGCAGCCACCATAGATTAATTTTGCTTATTCATCTGCTTCATAAAAATGGAATCATTTTGGCTGGGCCTGGTGGCTCACACCTGTAATCCCAAGACTTTGCGAGGCTGAGGCGGGCAGATCACCTGAGGTCAGGAGTTCAAGACCAGCCTGGCCAACATGGCAAAACCGTGTCTCTAGTAGAAATACAAAAATTCGTCAGGCGTGGTGGCAGATGCCTGTAATCCCAGCTACTTGGAAGACTGAGGCAGGGAAAATTTCTTGAATCCAGGAGGCGGAGCTGAGATCGTGCCACTGCACTCCAGCCTGGGGGACAGAGTGAGACTCCGTCTCAAAAAAAAAAAAAAAAAAGGAATCATTTAGTATGTTCTCTTGTTTCAACTTATCTTACTCAGGAGGTTATATATGCCACTAATTTGTTTTTTTTCCCTTGTTTCATTTTGTTTTGGCCAAGTAATATCCTATTGATGGTATGATTATCACACAATTTGATATCCATTTTTCTGATGGGAGATGGGTTTACTTATTGGCTACTGTGCATAAGTAACTATGAATATTCTCATACAATTATTTCTGTGAAGATACTTATGTTCCTGGGTATCTATAGCTAGGGATGGAGTTGCTTGGTGAATGGGTAGAAAACAGACACAGAGTTTTGCAAAGTAGTTGTATTTACATTTCTATGAAAGATACAGGCCATTTCCAGTTGCTCTACATTCCCACACACTTAATATTTTCAGTATTTTAAATTATACCAGGTGTACAGTGATATCCTATTTTGGTTTTCTCATGCCTAATGTTTAGATATCTTATAGAAAATATCTTCTCAAATTTTTATGTTCATTGATATGCTGGGGGGTGTTTATCATTTTCTTTGTAATCTATAGGAGTTCTTTATATATTTTGAATGAATCCATTTATAGATACATGTTTTTTGCTATATTATATAACAAATAATTATTCCTGGTCTAAACATAGCATTTCAGTTGTTAACATAATAAGAAGAAAGTTTTTAAAAATGAAGTGCAATTCGCTTGATTTCTTATTGTGGTGAGTGCTACAGTATCTAGTCTAAGAAATATTTTCCTATGTCAAGTTCAAGAAACTATTTCCTATTTTTCCTTTACAAGGTTTCTAATTTTAACTTTCACATCTTAAGTTAATTTCAGTGTATGATGGAGAGTGGTTGTTAATATTAACTTTTTAA